CAGATTCCAAGCTTCTGTCAGAGATGGACCACAGCACAACAGGAGCTTGTAGGGTTTTTTTAAAGGTGCAAAAATGGACTATGAGTGACGTTATGAGATGAAGATAGTTGCTTGCTTGGAAGTTGACACCCTTGCTTCCAATCTCTCCTTCATGACTCCTTTCAGTCTCACCATACATAGCCAAAATCCCCAAAAATGTGCTGGGCAGTAGCAAGATGCATGTTGGGGTAGCTACCCATAATGCATTGTACTGTGCTTCCACACAAACTTTTCCACACAGTACTGGTGCAAGAAGCCAAATATGCATGCATAGAAATGATCTAACTGTGGCAACTTTATGCTGACATAACTTGGGTTGTCCAAAGTTTGTAGTGTAGACATAGCCTGAGAGATTAAGGGCCAATTTTACAACAGGGGGGCCAGTGATTTTGGCTGCATTTTTGGGGGAGAAGGATCCTACTGTGATGTGTAATTTAAAATTTCTGTTGAAATTAACATTAATAACTACATTTAATAGTTTCTGATTAATCAAAGAAATTGCACATGACAAACTGTATTATGGTGAAATGGTGTTCTTGAAGAAGGGACGTGCTCAATATTTTCATTTGAAACTTAATTTTAGATAATACTGTTAACTTCTCGTGGAAGACTTGCATTAAAAAAACTGCACTTTCTGATTCATGTATTGTTATTTACTAAAAAAAGTTTGGAAATGGAAGCATAAGTGTTAAATGGTGACACAAACTAATAAAATACAATGATTTGAACATTATAACACCCACACAGCTGCAATGAATTCATGCAGAACGTCTAGCAAAGCTCAAGAGGAAACTATACATTTCCTCATATTTAAAAATATGTGCTGTTTTTCTTTTTTGAATACATTTTCAATGTGATTCGTCACAATATGTTATCTGGTTTGAAAAGACATATACCCACAGAAAAGGAAACAGCCTGTCTCTTTGCATAGCACCGTGGTCCCCAACCCGGTGCCCGCGGGCGCCATGGCGCCCGCTGGGACCTTTATATGCGCCCGCTGAGCAATCTGGGCTGGCCCCGCCCCCAGGCGTGCGGCAGGTGCCAGCCCCGGGCGCATGGCCGGCCCCAGCCCTGGGTGCACCGCGCGTGCCGGTGCTGACC